TATAAATCTACATATCCTTAGATCTCTACAAGGTGTGATTGATATGTTCTGAGTCTCATACAGTAAGACTTGACCTAAACACATTAAAATGATCTATTTCCAACATGAACCTCTTCCACAGTAGTACACCATTGCAAACGATGTTTGAGGAATGCGATCCCAGTTCCGGAGAAGTTCTTCTCTTGTAAACGCTCATCATATATGCTATGACGTCGTCGCTCGAGTCGGAACTGCATGGTTTTGGCTAGAGCTGTCTACTTGTTAGGTCTGACATAGAGGTCTGACATAGAGGTCTGATATAGAGGTCTGACAAAATCAGACCAGGGCCCCGATCCACAAAGAGTTAGGAGTGAGTGAGTGAGTTGAGTTGTACGTCGCTTTCAGCAACATTCCGGCAATATCACAATATTATGGCGGGGAACACCAGACATGGACTTCACACATTGTACTCATGTGGGGAATTGAACCCGGGTCTTCGGCGAGACGAGTGAACGCTTAAACCACTAGGCTACCCTATCGCCCTCAAAGAGTTCCCCCAAAGAGTTCATAAGCCTATGGTAAACTGTATAGAGTTACGACAGGTCGTAACGTTACGAATCATTTGTGGATTTGGACCCTGCAGTGTAAGGAGTGTTCTGAATGATATGTTCCATTTATTGTCATGCGTTTTGGAAGGTACCTCTGTTTTCCGCGAACACGGCCCGAACGTTTCCAGTAGACATGTCTCTAAAGCAACCATTAGTTTAAATGAGTTTAAATTATAAGTGTAATTTCGATAAAATGGAAAAAGAGACAGTTGTCCCTACAAAAGACCAGCGTCCTTTCTGTCCTCTTATCCACACGTGCCTCTTTAAGGGATAGAATTAGTATAGACTTCCTTGGGGCTTGGCATTCAGTATGGTCTTGAGGCAAGGTAGTCTAGGGGCAAGGATATATCTAGCTGACGTATCTGACTTTACCTTCTGTGGTGATGGTGGTGATATCAACTGCTTCCACTATTTTGTTGTTTGGTATTGGAGAAACAAGATTTAATTCATACAGATACAAAGAACCTTTCTGGATCAACTTCAAACAGACCTATATTATCAGGAGACAACGCGTTTTGGATCAAATGAATTTGCGTATATGTATAAACTTGGTATCATTGCTATATATGGCTGGGGGAAATACCGATGTAACGTTAACTTTTAACTCACTGTGATCACGTGTAAGAACATTTGGATATAAAAATATAAGTCAGGTGAAACTTTGTATTCTCACGATGTTGCCGACATGCTCACTCACGATGATGTTGATTGTTTATATCACCGTTATCTAGCCGGACCGACCTATATGCAGCAGGGATACACCCGTGAAGTGAAAATGAAAAGGTCGAAGACCGTCTGCTTATTTAGACTGTTTGTTAAAACGAAAAATGATCCACCGGTGGCTACAAAAGGCGGACCATGTGTTATTTTGACGATAGACGTGGTGCGGGATATGACTATTCCATTAGACAGGTAATGAAAGGCAGGTGGGAAAACACACCTAATGGTCAGGTAAAGGGGCATGTGTGTTATTAGTCACGTGCTGATGGGGATATGGGGGCGTGTCAAAGACTAAACTAACCTATAATAGACTAGCGTTAATACGCCGAGGGAGATGCCACCAATACTGGTCTTCCTGTGTGGTCGACGACCCACAGTTCAGGTCTTGTCTGTTCAGGGGAGATTGTTGTTGAAGTATTTTGCCAGAAGTTAATATGTCTCAAGAACTAAGTGCTTTTTAATACACAGAGTGTTCGGCATCTCAAACGTGTGCGATGGTCTGTCATGGGTTGACAGTGCTGTATATAACCAAATGTTAACTACCATATATGCAGATTTTCATGCTAAACGCAGGATCTTTTTTCAAAACGTATACACGTGTATTATGTTTTGAAACGAATGGATTTGACTTAATCAAATGCAAAAATAATGTTTCTCACATAAGAGGCCACTGCACCTTTTATATAAGGGGTCAGAGAAGTCCAATTATCATCACTTGTTTGTAAATAATAAGCAATTTTGCGTAACTGCAAAGAAAATGTGTAAGGTGTCATTATCAAATCAAGTCCTCTCATCTTCCTGTCTTATTGTGTGGCCTTGTTTTAAAGTACCGTTTAAGCCACACATCTACGTCATGAACCCTATGTAGACCTCATTCCTGCACCGCCTAATACATCGTTTCCTATGGAGGCCCGTGATGCTCAGTGGAGGTGATAGAGGCCGACTGCCATTGCGCTAACGGGATGTGACAGAGATAGATAGGTTGAGGGGCGGGGGTGGGTGGGCAGGGTGCTGTAACAAGTCAGGGATGATAGATGGGGGAGATGGGAGGGAGAATTAATAATTTTGTTTGAGTCTTAAGGATCTTTTTTCCTAATTGATGCAGCTAGAAATCAGAATCCGATCTTGCGAACCTCGTATTTTATATTTCCACTTTCAAAGCACACTTGACCAATTGTCCATTGGTTATTTATCATTGAACACTTTCACCTGTTTTAGATATATTTAGATTTTTCTTTCCAAAATTATTATCAGGAAATATATTTTCCGTTTTTAAGAAACATTAATTGTTTCTTCAGTTCGGTAAACATTGACTCGCCCTGAAGCACAAAGACCACATGTGGTATATCTTCATCGTTTGGCATAGAAAAAAGCATGGTTTGTTCAAAATGTTTACTACCGTTTAATGCTACACTATACTTTAACACAAGAGTGTGCATGACGTCAGTTAGAGATACCGTGGAAGTCCTTACACAAACAGCTTTTGGACAAGAAGATGACATTTACTTGTAGATGTTTATGGGTTTCTTCATTTTGGTTCTTGTCCTTGGTTGTTTTACGGCTAATTTGTCAAGATAAGTGCCGCTTGTTACAGCAACTAAGTAGGCGACTAGCCCACGGTTTACAATACGACGGAAACATACTTCATGAGTATTACTGCAAGACTGTAATTCTTTTCTTAACATACATCAATTTATTTCTTCAGCAGATGCAGGGAACCGCTAACATTCTTATTTGTGTGGTTCAGTTCGTCATTCTTTGTATCCAATTTGTTTTTCTAATATTATTTATACCTGTGTTCGATGTATCGACGTCACGCCGTGATATTAGATTTAGCTTTGTTTGCTTGTTTAACGCCGCAATATTCCAGCTATGTGGCGGCGGTCTGTAAATATATCGAGTCTGGACCAGACAATCCAGTGATCAACAGCATGAGCATCGATCTACGCAACTGGGATACGATGACATGTGTCAACCAAGCCAGCGAGTCTGACCACCCGATCCCGTTAGTGGCCTCTCCCGACAAGCATGGGTTGCTGAAGACCAATTCTAACCCGGATCTTCACGGATTATAGAAACTACAAAACATTTCAATAAGAATAGTCATGACTATTTTGGGGGTTATTTGTGCAAATCAGTACCTATTTTACGTAATGTTAATTTTTTTCAATAATAAAATAAAGTATACACATGTATAAATGCATGTATAGAGTGATGAACCTGACGTTGAATGTTACTGAAGGGTTCACACACCATCTATATTTATACCAGAGTATTAATGGCCCTAGTTTTACAAATAACTCGGCTCCTGATGAACGCTGACAGTCGGGTCTGGACGGTTGCGTGTAAACGGTGATTTATAACAGTGACGTAATTCCATTAAGCACGAGGGTTTGATTACTGCCGGCAACGTTAACGTTTTTTCTACTGCTTTTAGCCTATATTATGTATCAATAAAACAGTGTACCTTCAACAGCGAGCACTCTGGTCTCAAAAGTGTTTTTGTTTTATTGATTGACGCGTCTTAACTAAGGGTGTAGTCTGTGTCATAGGTTTACATTGCGTATCTGTTAAACGGTAAAAGCATCTAAATGGTTTCCCACAGCGAATAATAAATGTTTAGATACGAATAACCATTTTGTAAAAGTGTTTACTGATATCGTGGTAGGTTTTCCTTCATTTATCATTACATTTAGACAAGAATGAATGTATAATTTCCAGAAAATGTGGTGCAGTTTGGTAAATATTTCGTCCATCTCTAACTTCAAACAACTCATCTTTATCTCCCACTTGCAGTATCTTTAGGAGTGGCATAGAGCAATTAACGTAGAGTACCTGTACATGTTGGAAGATATAGTACTTTCAGTTGATGTAGTATCGTATCCAGGAGGAAATATGGTTATTGATGGCTTTGTCCATTTCAGATATGAACAACCTATTTCTCTTAGAAGATCCTAAAGTCAAATTATGTCATATGCGTTCCTGACAAGAAAACAGAAAATGTGTCTACATTTATTAAATTTACTATCTAGAAAATGATTAACCCCGTATGTTAATATCTGTTTGGCTGCACTGTAAATACTCCGCTTGCAGTGGCTATATGATGATAGGCTCTACGTTGATAGAGTGTCTGTCTACGTAGATATACCTAACGTACATGTATGTGTCTTCTTGGGTAGTTATATTCATGATGAAAAGGGGTGTGCTTTTAGAAATATAGGTTGTGCTATTAATGGGGAATTGCAAAACAAAACAAAATAAATAAATATATAAAATAAAAACATGATAAGCGAGTGAGTATGGTTTTACACCACTTTTTAGCAATATACCAGCAAAATCACGGCGGAGGACACCTGAAATGGGCTTCACACGTTGTACCCATGTGGGGAATCGAACCCGGGGTTTCGGCGTGACAAGGGAACGCTTTAACCACCAGGCTACCCCACCGGCCATGATAAATGAACACGAAGGGGTTCATTACGATATCCGGAAAGTTGTTTATCCGGACAAAATGTAAGATAACGCAAGTGCCCAGACAAGCGAGGCTCGACTTTACCATTAATAATCAAAGAATGGTGTCTGGTGTACAACCGATCAGCGATACATCCAGTGGTTTGATTACTTTCCCTCTGAAATGTAAACATGAGAAAATAACACTATATACTCTGTTATGCAACTTTCCCAAAGGCTTACTGTCAAAGTCGCTGACGTCGTCCGTGGTGTAGAACGGTGCACCGTCACTGGTCCTTGACCTTCTTCTGCGGTGCGCTCTACGAACATCAAGAGCGTCATGTCCACGCACGCTCTGACTCCGCGATATCTTCCGGGTCACGTTGCCAAGCAACTGTTCAAGCTGAGCATCGACTGGAACAGAAGGAAATGGATTACCTCAACATTCCAACCACCCGTACGTCACTGGTACATTGGATTACCTATCCGCAGCAACCCACTGAGTTGAAGACAGATCAAGGAACCTATTCAGTACCTCTGTGAGAGGTGTCCTTAACATACTCCATGTATAAGCTGGACGTCCCCTTGCATCACCGCCCCTCCGCTATCAGTATTTGGTGCACAAAGCAAATTATGTCTGCATCCGCTAGATGAACTTTCCTGTGTTAAAATAGTTCAATCGGAACTGCTACAATGCCAATCAATGTGACCTGACAATGCCCCACCTTCACCAGACACATCGGTTGTAACCATAAATACTCTGATCGACCACAGTTCATCAGTCTGGTGTCCCCCCGTCGCTCACCATCCCACACGACTACACCCCCGACGTGCGGGTAACCTTGGTATTCATCCATCACCTGCCCAAATCTCAATATGTTTGAAGTTCCTTTTGTTACACTACAATCTCGTTTCATAATCATTTACTTACAGATGTGTAGCGTGCTTATGGACAAGTAATACGATCACAAGTTTACACAGTTAGATGCCATGATAATGTTGACATGTACATAGATTGTGTTCCAACATCAGACAACCAAAACTTTGAGTCATGTAAAATTCAAACATATTGCTGTGAACAATCACGTCATGGTGACATGGTAGAAGTATGTCTGTGTGTTCGGTATTATATCCCTGATTGGATCATGCACTCACTCAGCCTCATACCAATCATTGCTTGAGAGAACAATACACCTCTGTATTTGATGCTTGTCGTAAGAGGCGCCTAACGGGATCAGGCGGTCAGGCTCGCTAACCTGGCTGACACATGTCACCGTACCCAATTGGGGAGATCGATGCTCCTGATGTCAATCATTGGATTGTCAGGCCCACACTCGATTCTTTACAAACCGCCGCCATAAATTTGGAATATTGCTAAGTGCGGCGTTTATTTGATGCCAAAGGTCAAACATTCGCACACCGGGCTGACATGTTCAACATGGCTGCTACTTGGAAGTAAAACAGAGTAACTAACAGTTCCTTTTCTTCTCGGAGATGTCTGAAATATAGAAGTTATGACGAATGGATATAATCTAAAAAGAACCATCAGTTCAGGTGAGCTAGGGTATATGGATGTAAAATTGACTGAAACCCTCCCTTAGAGAAGCATAAAGTTCTATCCGTTACACCCTGTACCCATTGAGGTGCACGACCCAAACAGTATGTCCCAACCGCTGTGATGGTATTTTAGCCTAAGGTTCCCAAGAAATGAGAATATAATATAATAGGTTAATGAAAGTGACGTAAACTACTTCCTAGCGCCCCCTGCGTATAAGATACGACTGACTTGGAGTATTGTGAAACAGACTTCCTGACCTAGGTGTTCGTCACGTCACTGGTCACCGCTCATCCACTCACCATCCGGGTATGCCGGGGTATCGGTTCATTGCCAATAACCAGCTGCAGTGCTACCTGGGTGATGTGGCCGGCTTGATAAAATATATGCAAGCTTATTTTCATGGTTTGCGTGTGAATTTACACGCTAAAACAACTTAAATTAATAAATGGAAAATGTTTTAAACATTATTCGGTGGTTAAAGATTTTACGACAAGCTGCTACGATTTCAAAACGAATAGGCCGCGAACAAAGGTATTTTTTGAAATATTGTAACTATAAAAACCGAAAAACGGTTGCCATGACACAACAGCGGTGACTGCACACATCGCCCCTTCCACGCTGTCGTGTCGTGACAGAAACACTGCTCAAACTAAATGTCAGCCATGGAGATTTGCAGGCAGTAAATTCTCGTTTGACCCGTACAAGCTGGGTTTAATCAAAGCAAGTGTCATTTGGTGGTGGCCTTTGTACCAGCGACCTTTTCGCGGCGTTTCTGAACATGTGACGGTGGAACTGGGGACTCTAGCTAACAAAGTGTCACCTGCATGGGAACTCGCTGCCACATACACCTTGCCCACATAGGCCGTAGGTGGTGTGAGTTAAGCGCTGAAAGGTGCTTGGGATCTTTAAAAATTCAGTATAAATAATATTCTAACGAAAAATGCTGCTCGGTGATTTTCATACGTCACTGAATTTAATTAAGTCAGTAATGGCCTCACAAGGACAAAGGATAATGTTATGTAGCATATACACAGGTTTAGATTTACTATACCAAACGCAAACGGATGGACTTAATACGTGGTAGCAGCAATAAATAAGAGGGCCTTCTACTATGTAAGGGACCGTTCATAATTTATGGCCGGGGGTGATGATGATTTTTATAGTGAAGCATGTACAATGTGAATGACCCCCCCCCCTAAAAGTTATGTACAAAGTAAGTGACCCCCTGCATGTCATGTACAAAATCAATGACCCCCACCCCTTCAAATATTTTTAAGCATAATACTTTTATGTACAAAATTGCTGACACCCAGAAACATGTGTACAAAATTGATGACCCCCTACCTCCGGGAAGAAAATGAGTGACCCCTTAAAATCATAATCAAACCACCCCACCCCCACCCCCACCCCTACCCCAGCCATAAATTATGAACGGTCCCTAAGTGCTCTCATGAATGCCAAGGATATTGTCGCTGTTAAATGTCTTGAAAGCAGAGTAGTGTTGGAATCTGACATAAATACCAAATATGGATCAACACTGCATTTGTCGGATCAACAAGGCATCAAATCGCTCTATAAAACTGTCCCTTCAGCAATCTTCTAGTTCTCCCAAGCTTGCCATGTTCGTAGATAAAACAAGAGCAGAAAAACTCTAATAATTCCAGTAGGGTCCATACCGGAATGTTCTACACGGCGTCATCGACAACACCCTAAATCCGACGACGGCAGAACCACCAGAAACAACAGAAACTGGCAGTAGAACATGACAACGTCCGCGATGGCTGTGAGAAATGACGCTTAGTCACCACTGACACTGACACACTATCAATACAGCGATGCATGGCCTACCTCATGACGACATGTCACGGGTGAACGTTAACTAGTGGAGGCATCACTGAAATTGGCAATGACACATAATTGTACGTGTTAACTAATTCTTGAAAGTGGCATTGACATGAACATACACCCTGTATCATGGTGGTACATCCGGCCTAATGCTACCGGGTGGGTGTCACCCATGTCTAGCACTTCATGGGGCAATAACCAAGTTCTGTTGGCCAAGACATCAAACATGTCGTCAACACACGACGTCTTCCTTATCATGAAGGGACGATGACAGCTGTGATTTGTTCAACCGACTTATCGTCTACGACTGCGACGAGCGAGGCTGCTACGGGAGCAAGGTGCCTGTGACAGATTGGTTATAACACTGTAAGTTTGTGGCATCTACATACGGGAGGAAGCAGCCAGTATACATGCATATCCGCAACCTCGACGATTGAATATATTGGAAGCAAGACGTCGAATTTCTCTTGATTCAAGTCATTTATACAGTTTTGTCAGTTTAGGAAGATCTTAACATTTTGTTTTGTATTTACAGTGTATGTCTGTAAGTGATTGCGTGCGTGTGTGGTATACAACAACTCTCACTTAATCACGGTTATTCTCCTTTAATGTTACGGTAATTAACGCCCGTACCACCTCAGTGCCTCGCTCTAGTGAACTCAGCGGCATCAGAAGGTATAGTAATTAGTACGTGATGTCTCTCAACGAGAGCGTTGCAAGATGAAGCAGGTTTAAACCCACAGTCAGTCCGAACGAACCAATCGCTGGTCAGTGTCTAGAAATCCCATGATTTATCATCGACAGATGTCTATTAGCTCTACAGTTGATGTGTATGGGATGAAGCAGGTGCAGCGTGGAGCAGGGCCATGCTACACCTCGTACAGTATACCTGTCTAATCAACATCCCAATGGTTGTTGAGTCAGATGGTCACACTATACCTCATCTCAACATAATCAAAGCCATACACAAAGGAAGGTATGGTGAAACTTATACGTTATGTAAAGGAAGAATCAGAAATGTAGACTTGACAACCAGCTTTACATATCGCTTGATGTTGCACTTTTCATCCCTGTAAGTGGACGTTCAAAAAGTGGAATCGCCTTAAACTGATGTCAGTTACCCATGTACTTGGAGCATTCGTCCACAACTCTCAACAATGTAACCAACATCCAGTATGGGCCCTTAAATTGCAAAGGTATAGTTCGAGCACTCAATTACATTGTATTTACCAATAAATCAAACAAATATCTATGGCGTCGTAGAAATATATCTTACCTAATGCTTCTGATCTGTTATTTGTAGTAATCATTTTGTGTTGACAGGCAGTTTACGTATAACAGACAGAGATTCACTACCAAGTAAATGCTTCATTTGTCTGCCTTTTCTCATTCCATGAAAGTTTGGCGTTTAAGATGTTATGATGTCTATGTAAGTTATCTTGTGAATAAGATGCGTAGAATGATTTGGATGTGGTTTTGTTTGGTTGTTGTTTAACGCCGCACTCAGCAATATTCCAACTCTGTGGCGAGGAGTAGGTAAATAATCGAGTCTGGACCAGACAATCCAGTGATCAACATCGTCCTACGCAATTGGGATACGATGACATGTGTCAACCAAGTCAGTGAACCTGACCACCCAATCCCTGTAGTCGCCTCTTACGACAAGCATGGGTTACTGAAGACCAATGCTTACCCGGATCTTCGTAGCATGAAGAGCCCCACGAGTAACATTTCATAAAACCATCACCCTAAACCACCCTCAGAACCGTCTCACAACCTAAGAAGGCAACATAAGTCTCTGAAACCCGAGAGCAGCTTATAATTAATAAGACAATAACGCCCATTCTCAGTTCTATTAACCAATACCCATCCCAATTCAGCTCTGACATGGAGAGAGTTCTTTATAAAATCAGACAAATTGCTACTTTAGGGAATATATGTGTGTCCTGGGCAGTGGTAGTTTCTCTTACAGACTCAAAAAGAACATTTTTGTTAAATGTGAACCCATTCC